GGGTGAGCGTGCGGCGGCGGCGGCGGCGGCGGTGCCTGGTAGGGGAAGAGGCCAGCCAGCGCCAGCTGCTTCGCCTCGTCCTCCTCGCGGGGCTCCTGCTTGATCACCAGCGGCCGCAGCGCGGGCACCGCGACGCGTTCGTACAGGGGCTCCAGCCTGCCGTCCAGGTAGCCGCCCGCCGCGCAGCCGTAGCCGGGCGGGGGCCCGTGCGCACCCCCGGACATGACGGCGCCTCCCGGGCCCGCCGGGGCACCCGGGTAGTCAAAGTCGCCGCCTGCTCCCGCGGGGGCCGCGGCCGCCTTGGCCTTCTCCTGCTGCCGGCTGTGCTGGAACAGGTCGGCCAGGAACTCGTCGTTGAAGGCGGCCGGGTCGATGTAGGCGCTGATGTCGATGGACGTCTCGTGTTCGCAGATGCCGCCCAGCGGCTCCGGGGCGGCAGGTAGGGCAGGGGGCTGCGCGGGGCCCGCGCCCCGGGAGAAGCCGAAGGCGGCGCTGCTGGGCGCGTGCGGGGGGCTCTGGAGGTGGCTGCTCATCGGGGGCCGCGGCTCCGCCTCGTAGAAGTCGGCCGACTCCATGGGACAGCTAGAGTGCTCCTGGCATGGCGAGCCTCGGCGGCCTCCAGCCTGCGCGGGGCGCCGCCGCGTCCACCGCCCGCCCGGAGCCCCTGCTCGCTCGCGCCCGCGCAGCTCCGGGTCGCGAATGGCCAGGCCCGCGCGAGCCCCGCTTTTATACCGGGTCAGCCGTCGCCCCCTGGTGTCCAAGCTGCTCCCTGACCACGGGCGAGGGCAGCGAGGCGCCTGCCGGGTCTTAGCGCCCGCCTCTCTGACGGGCGGTGAGCGGCGAGGGGGCGCAGAGAGGCGGTGGCTCAACGCCCACTGCCTCCAGCTCGGCGAGCGGAACCCCGGCGGCCGTGCGGTGCCCCACCCCCGACAGGCTGTCACCCCGCGCACACGTGGCCGGTGGCTGCCCACCCCACTAGCCTCCCCAAAGCACCCACTTCCAGTTAACAGCGGGTGAGCCCGGAGCACCCAGAGTTCGCGCAGGGGATCGGTGGAAGCCGAGTCTTGGTCCTCAGAATGAGGCTTGTCCCAAACCAAGGCTTCTGTCCCAGGGCGCAGAGAGGTGGGGACGGCTTCCGAGGTGCAGGCAGGCGCGCACCGCCGAGTGGAGAGACCTGGAGAGCGGAGGCTCCGCGACTGCTATCTCTGATCTCCAAGCGACCCCGCAGATGTCACTCAGAGGCACCTCGCCCCCGCCCCGCCTCTGAGTACTGTGGGGTCCCACGGGCCAGTAGCGCAGGGCACTAGGACCCTGCAGGGTACCGAGGCGGCCGCGACTGGGGATCCTGGCGGACGCAGCCGGTCCAGCAGCTCTGGAAAACTTTCTTTTAAATTACTTCTCCAGGCCCAGGCGCGAGGGTTGCTCAGGCGCGCGAAACCGGTGCTCCTACCCGCCGAGCAGCGGCCAATATTTTCTCTCGGGATGGGCAGATGGTCCCCCCGGATGGGCCACTCTGGACACCCGGGCGAGCGCGGGGAAGAGGGCAGGCGCGGAGAGAGGCGAGGAGAACCTGACTCCAGGACCGGGATCCCGTGGCGGATCCCACAATCAACTCTGCCCCCACTGCCGTTCAGGGGCGCGCCCACGGCTGGAGCTGGGGTGTCGAGAGAGCCGGGACCAAGGGGTCTGAGCACCCCCTGGGAGAACTCCGCCACGTGGCTGTTAGGGCGCCGGGTCCCCAGGATCCTGGGTCCCTAGGGCACGCGCAGCCTCTGTGTTCACCGCTGCGGATGGAGGAGCGGATGCGGCGCTGTCTCCCCAGCCACTTGGCCGTCCACACGCGGGTGGGGTTCGGTGGTGGGCAGGTGGGGTCTCACAAGTACTTGAGTCTCTCCAGCTTCCGTCTGGCTCAGCCAGTGCGGCTTCTTGAGCCGAGGCCTGATGACCCCCTCCACCTCCCTAGTGCTGACTGGAGGTGTGCCTGCCTGGGAATCGTCTGGCTGCTCAGGTGGAACCCCCACACAGCGCCTTCTTGGGTCTGGTGAGACGCTAAGACCCTCCCAGGGGACCTACAGGAGGCGCAGCCAAGAACATGGCCCGAGAGGCCCAAGCTTCTACTGTGGTCACAGCAAAGAACAACTTCGTCTGGGGGAACTAACGCATCCTGTGCTTTAATCAGGTTCCTATTCAACATATTCCCAATGATTAATGACCCAACTGCTTCATCTTGGATCCAGAGCTCATAAACAAGATATTTTAACATGATGCGTTTGGGCAGAGGGAAGAAAAAAGCATATACATTAAATAAATAACGTGATGTGAGCTGTGGATCGCTGTCTGTGCCAGATGCTGGGCCCATTAACACACCATGCACCTGTAGAGAGAGGGCTGGCAGGAAATCAGAACGCGAAGAGGAATTTTCAGGGTTTTTGCTGTTAGTGTTGCGTCAAGGATGCTGCTGAGGTCCTGTACTTGCAGCAGGGATGCAGGGTGGGAAGTGACACTGGCTTCGTCCACAGTTGCCCTTGCCTGTGCAGGGAGAGGAACTTGTTTTAGAACTGGAAGAAATCCCAGTGCGGGAATAAGGCCTCCCCTACTAAGGAAGGGCCTGATAAATGTGCAGGGTGAAAGAGGCAGGGAGTGGGGCCCCACCCCAAGGGCTGCAGGCCTTCCTATAGCAGAAATAGGATTTGCCCGGGGCCCAGCCTGTGCAAAATGCAGAGTGCCCTGAGGTGATGGAGAAGAGGGCCCTGCCCTCTGGGGGTCCAGAACGCAGTCGGGTGACAGACAGCAGGTCAGACTGAGTCTGCTGCGAGGAGGGGCAGGGACAGAGCAGAGGACAGGGCTTTGTCATTAACTCATCCAGTGTGTTAGAGACACAAATGTGGATTAAGTGTGGTTGTGTTGTTGGGTGTGTGTTGGCACATGCCTGTAATCCCTGCACTTTGGAGGATGAGGCTGGAGGATTGCTGCTATTTCGAGGCCAGTCTGAGCTATATAGTGAATTCAAGGCCAGTCTGAACTACACAGGGAGACCCTGTCTCAAAGAAACAAACGACAAGAAATAAATAAAGGAATGGATGTGCTGTGATAAAGGGACATTCTACCCTGGTGAATACGGGGCTCTGGAGGAGGCAGCCACCAATGTTCCCTGGAAAGGTGCTATGGACTGAATTGTGTCCCTCCAAAGTTCAAAACCCCCAATGTAATAATCAGAGATATTTAGGAGATAAACTTTTTAGGAGCTAAAGTTAAGTGAAATCCTGAGGGTGGAGTTCTAATCAGGTAAGATTGGTGGCCTTCTAAGGACTGTCCTGGCACTCTGGGAAGCTGAAACAGGAGGGTTGCAAGTTCAAGTCCAGCCTGGGCGATTTAGCAACTTATCTAGACCATATCTCCAAATAAAAAGGGCTGAGGATGTAGCTCAATGTGAAAGTCCCGGATCCAATCCCCCATTACACACACAGACTAGGTCCATATGGGCACACAGAGAGAAGGTAGTCATCTGCCAGCCAGGAAGCGAGACCCCACCAGAACTCCACCATACTCTATAATGGCACCTGAAACTCAGATTTCCAGCCTCAAAAGCTGTGGAAAGCAAATGTCTATGGTTTACACCACCCAGTCTGGGGCATCCCGTTGGGCAGCTTGAACGGGGTAAAACGAGGTGAGAGAGGGCTTCATGTAGGAGTGAACCTTGGAGCTGTGCCCTGAAGGGCAAGCAGGAATTTGCCAGAAGGATAAGGAAGGCAGGTCTAGGAGGAGGGACAGCAGGTGCAAAGGTGGAGAGACTGCAAGTACCTGGCGTATTCCGGTAACAAAGGACAAGATGTTTGACTGGCTGGAGTTTGGGGCCCGCTGGGGAGGGGCTGAGATAAGGCTGATCCTCAGACAGGGCTGGGTTGATGGCCAAGGCCACTCCTGGAGAAGGAAAAAGCCTTCTCTCACGAGTAGGTGTCTTCCAGTGTTCAGCAGAGGAACTTTGTTGTCCCATTGGGCCAGAGAGAGTCCACATACAAGGTGGTCCTGATTTTTTAATGCTCTGGGATGAGGCCTGGTTCTGGAGGCAACTCCTTTTTTTTTTTTTTTTTGTCCTTTTGAGACAGGGTCTCTCTATGCAGTTCAAGCTGGCCTTGAGCTCACTTTGTAGCCCAGGCTGGTCTCAAACTCACAAAGATCCTCCTGCCTCAGCCTCCTGAGTGCTGAGATTACAAGCATGTGACACCATGCCTGGCTAGTAGAGGCATTTTCAATGCTAACCATTTTGAGAAGACAAACAGAGCCCAGGAACTTTTAAAATTTTGGTTCAAACGATGCACAAAAGAACTTAGTACATAAATTTGAAAATCTGTCGAATTCTGAATAGCAAAAATGGAAGTAATCCTTCCAATGTAATTTGGTAACTACCTCAAGCTAGAGTGTGGAGGTAAGATTAGTCACTCCAAAACAGGACCAATAAGATTTAAAAAAACAAAAACCAGAGCTACAATATTTAGGCACAGCTGAGCTCTGCTTAGAGGAGTATCTGATGTTATATCTAATATGAGCTGGGCCTGGTGGTGTATGCTTATAATCCCCACATTCTGGGAGGCTGAGGCAGGAGCATCACAAGTTCAAGCCCAACCTAGGCAACTTAGTGACTTAGCAAGACCCTGTTTCAAAATACAAAGTAAAAATATAAAAAGACTAAGGATATAGTTCAACGTGAAAGCCCTGGGTTCAATCCCCAGTAGTGAAAAAAAAAAATTATGTATTCTATTTCAGTGACTCAACAACATAGTCTGAACTACTTTAAAACTTAGACCAAAGAACAAACAAAATTAAAATATTAATTCCTTTTTAATTACAAATGTATTCACGATTGAGTTTTACACAAATGCATGTTTATGGTTTAGGTATCAACAGGAAAAGTGTAAGGGGAACCCAGTGGTCAACCAACCAAAAGTTAAGAGTTTCTTATCAACAAACAGCACTTAGAAAGGCCTTTCTAAGTCAGTAAGTGACATACCTACGTCCCCAGGAAGCCTGGTGGTATGGGGGACTCATCCCCATTTAAATATCTGCCTCATCACTTACTAGCTGGGTGACCTTGGGTAAGTTACTGCTCTTCTCTGAACCTATTTTCTTTTCCATAAACTAAGGACAATAATCTATTGCAGGGCTGTGGGAAAGATGGGGAAAATATAGGTGTCAAAGTCAGTTTCTATGATGCTTGATGCTTGCTTGATAAATATGAGCTTTATATACCCCGTCTCTTTAGAGGCACATTTTTGAGGTTCTACCTTCCTCCAGAAGCTCTGAATATTAAAGGACTTCCTTCAACACAGTTATCAAGTTTCCAGTGGGATGTGAAATCTACACTTCTCAGAGCCACCAGTCTTTGATCCAGTCTTTGAGTCAGAAACCTCAATAAAGATAATTTTTTTAAATGTAAAAAAAAAAAAAAAAAAATTAATGTCTTATTTACTCATTGTGGTTGAAATCAACAGACCTAGAAGTCTAGGTTCTTTCTGCAGAGCACTCTGTAGAATAATTGAGTCTGTCACTGTGAGCTAGAAATCATTTAGCTGTTAGGAGAGATAACTGTAGCGCATGGATACCATCTACCATCACAGCTGTGAGTACTCAGGTCCATAAAAATATACACTGTTCAACTCATGGGAATCAGCACTTTCCAGCTTTCTCTGAATGTCCTTCTCCCATAATACGTGT